TGCTGGGGCCAGGTGGCCCGCGCAGGGCAGCGTCTCCCGGGGCTGCAATCCACCGCTGCAATCAGCAGGAGCCGCGTGCGCCGCTCGGAGGGGCAGAAGGTCTCGTCGGCGTTTCCTTTACAACGCCCTGAAGTGCCTGCCCCAGCCAGTTACCACAGCCGCCTCCCAAAGGACAGGACTGACAGCAGGAGTCCCCTGGCCTCGCAGATCCCGGCCCCGCTGCTTTGCTCCCGGGACGCTTGTCTGCTGGCATCAGAAAGAATAATTGGGACAAAGAGAAAATAAGTACTGTAGCTGGAAAGCCGGGGTCTGCGGACACCCAGCGGGAGCAGAGCTGGTGAGGGGCTGGGCAGGGGGCTTCAGGTGCCCACGGGAGGAGGGAGAGCGTGAGGTCTGAGGACGTCAGGCACTTGCGGAGGTGGGTACGGCTGTGTTGGAGGAGCAGCAGCTGTTGAGGACGGGAATGTGACTGCTGAGCATCCGGGCATCTGCGGGGCAGACTGAGATCCAGCTTGACTGGCCGCAGGAAAAACATCCCAGGTGGAAAACAGTAGCCATCTGCCATCTTTGGGGATTTCCAAAGGTCATCTTCCTCTCCAGGCCTTTGGCTGACAACCCCATAACGCTCCATCAGCTAATATTAACACCCGTCCGCGCCGCTGCGTGGGCAGGGCTGCGGGGCCACGGACGGCGGCGGCGTGCTGTCCGGCGCAGACCCCGCAGCGGCTGCGCGGCAGCGTTCTGGCCCGGCAGCAGGTCCTCTAAATTCATCAGGCTGCAAATTCGTCTCGTCCTCCCGACTCCTCTCTGTTTCTCTGCTGCAGTATTTTAACTCCTCTGCTTCCCAGCACCATAATGCAAATAAAACAGTCCCGAAGGAGGCCAGTAAAGTAACCCACGCCCAAACTTATAGGTTCTGTCTGGTCTTGTTCTGTTTTTTTTTAAAAAAAAAAAACCAAACCCAGCAACTGCTGGCATTTCTCCCAATCTCCCGTGGCCCCGGGCCACTAAAAGTCACTGTGGAGAACAAAGGAGAGGGTGTAGACACGGTGCCGCTGCCACCATGCCACAGTCCCCTGTCCCAGCACAGCGAGCCAGCCAAACCTAGGCAGAAGCCGGGGCAGGTAGTTCAGTTCAGAGGTACCTCAGGAAAAGTAGAAATCTCAGGAATCCCAGCAGGTAGTCGTTTGTTACTGTCCCTCTTCTCGGCGTACCGCCTCTGTAGAGGGGATTCCCCAAGGCACTGCAGTACAGTAGTGCAGAAATAACAGGCAGGAGATGGCTGAAATGGGGGTGGCAGAACTGGGAGGTCCCTCCGGAAGATCACTGTGTGTGGAAGTAGATAGGCTTGACTTTTCCAGACAGGATCTTGGGAACCTGCACAGAGATGATCTCGGCCATCATTTCAGGGTAGTCCACGCTCACCATATGTGCCTTAATTAAAAGGTCAAACGTAAACTGATGCAGATCCTTGGCAATCTGGGAAAGGAAGAAAGTTTGTTAAACGAGAAGCCCCCGGTCAGCGATTTCTCTGGGAAGACACCGCGCAGCCGGCAGCCGGCGCAGCGGGTCAGGGCCGGACTTCGCTGCAGCGGGACCTGCTTTGCTCTCTGGCCATCGCTGCCCTGCTGGCCGTTACCAGACGGCAGGCAGGCATCCTGGGGAGGAGCGGGGCAACGACCCAGCCTGGCAGCATGTCTTAGTACGATTAATACACATGTAGCGTATTTTGCCATGGCCCTTCACACTCTGACGTGACTGAGTCCCACAGAAATGGGGATGTATAAAAATGGCACCTTCTTACCCCTACAGCAACTTGTCTTACTGTGTGCAGATGCTGACGACTTTGCTTCTTAAAAATTACTTTTGGCTTGTAGACATATAACTGCACGGGCACGGAGCCGAGCCCCAGGAAAGAGGAAAGGTCTGGCTCACATTTCACCAGTACAACTCTAAGTATAGAGAATTTGTTTTCACTGCTGGGATCAGAAAAGATTCATTGGGGGTGCTGAGATTTTGAGCTGTTCTGCTAGGCTGATGATGGAAAAGTATCATCTACAAAGAGTGTTTCATTGCTAAAAAAGGAAGCCCATAAACCCAAGCACAAGGGGGGTTATTGCAGGGAGCGGCAGACACGGCTAACTTGCACTCCCTCGGTAGTTAGTGGCTGTCTTTCTCTGTCGCTTAATCAGGGAGCACACTGCAATACTGTCCCGGCAAAGGTGTGCCACGGGTTAAAACACAAACCGCAAAGAATCACAGAATCATCGAACAGCCCAGGCCGGGAGGGACCTCGGAAGATCACCCGGTCCAGCCTTCCCTGGGAAAGGGGGCCTGGATGAGCCTGCCCAGCCCCTGCCCAACCGCATCCCGAAAGCCTCCAGGGATGGGGACTGCCGCCACCCTGGCGAGGTTGTTCCAGTGAACGATCATTCTCACTGTAAAAAGTTTCTTTCTTATATCATTTCTTATGTGTATAGATAGACATTTCACTGTGCTCTCTTACAGGATGCACGGAGTCCAGGACCTTGGTGAGCTGGTAAAATCGCCGAGAGCAGGAGGTAGGGTTCTTCCTCTTGCAAGCGATGATACGGTCAAGTTCCTTAATGTAATTCATTCGAAGTTCATCAAAGAGCTTCTGGTTCTTCAGGCCATCCACTGGAACTGGATGGAACATGGGAAGGAAACAGTACGAGTTGCCAGAGTGGAGAGGATGAAAGAGCAGGAGGAAGGCTGAAGAAGTGGTCAGCACAGACCTAACAGGAAAGATCTGCCCACCAGCCCTGCTTCTGCTACGGCCCTCGCTCTGATCAGCTTGTTGGACTACTGCTAACCCAGGGACCCTTGTTCAGCACTTATTACAAAAGAGAGGCAAGGTAACAAGGCGCAGCGCTGTTTTCCCGCTCGGCAGCTGATGCTCGGAGACCACCATGATGACGGCGGTCAGGCTGAGGAGCAGCCTCCTGCGGGAGCCGCAGGGAAGGAGCGCTGCCCGGCACGGAGGCGGGATGGGCTAGCTGCAGGGGCTGGCGGCCTGATGCTTGGCAGCCCGTTGGCTCTGAGCAGCTCAGACTGAAGCAGAGAGGAGAACACCCACAGCCATCCCGTGGGACACAGGAGTACATGCATGCGCACAGGAAAAGCACCAGATACCTCCAGGGCGATACAGTATAGCAACGGGAGCCCTGCTGAGGAAAGGGCGTGAGTACTTACTAATACTGAAGAAGAGTAGAGCCTTCATACAGAGAAACTCCTGGGGTGTGATCTGAAGCCACCCAAACTCCTGGGAGAGGTGCCGCATCCTGACACACTGGCTGTACATCCTGGATTTGTGCATCCGGTACCTGGAGGGCAAGACGCGCAACGCCTGGCAGGGCAAGGCGCGCAACGCGCGGCAGGGAGACCGAAGCGCTGCCTGTGTGGCCTGGGGGCAGGACACGCTGCCCGACCCCGCAGCCCCAGCCCTGCTGCCAACAGCCCGAGCTCTGCCTCGGGGGACGCTGGCAGCAACCGGCCTGCACGCAGGAGAGGAACGTTTTCCAAAATGCCCGTGTGTAATCCTCTTTGTCTGGAAACGGATGACTACCTGGGATCTACGGGGTTCGTCTGACCCTCTGCCTTCCTGAAAAACGACTCAACGATTCACCAAAGGTGGCTCTCCGCGAGGGACGCGAAGCTGAGCGCAGAGCCCTCAGAGAGAAGGCGTGGTTCTGCTTACTGCTGTGCTGAGGTACTGTTTTTAAGCTCTTCTACCATAGTATCAACAAACCCTCCCCAGCTTTACGCTGACAGTACATCAGAGAGAACCCGTCAGGAACTTATGATATACGTTTGTTTCTGTTTCTGCTCCAGCTGACCAAGCAAGCTGAAAACAGGAACTCCAATCCCTTAGGGAAAAGGCGGGTCTGTATGGACCGGCCCTTCACACCCAGCACCAGCACTTGCTGCTGCCCTGATGGAAGTCGAACCCAAGGCAAGGCTGAGGGCAAGAGAAGAAGGACCAGGAGAGACTTTGCAACTCTCCTTTTTGCTCCTGGAGATCACGGCAGAGCAATCAGAGGGAAAAAGCAGGGCCCTCCTGCGCTCGGTTGGTCAGCTCTGAAAGCAGCGTTACTCAAGCCGCACGTTTCATACGCAGATGGGAAAGCACATTCCTTGTCTTGTTCTCATTTCTTACCTAGCCTGACCCAGACAAAGGACAACATCAGATTGCTGCTATTTTGCACTTACTCATTGAAGACCAAATCTGGAGCGAAGTAAAGCATCCTGGAATTGACGTTAGTGAAAGATCTCCAACCCATAGCAAACACCATAAGGCCCATCCAAGAGTACTGGATTATTGACATCTGGTCATCCACATGCAGGTTGCGAAATCCTAGTAAAAAATGAGAGAGGGATGTTACACATTAATATTGCCTCCCTGCAGTTACCAGGACTGCTTTCGTGCAGACTCCAGCCCCCTCGCAGTGCTCCCGTTAGGACAAGGCGGTCCACAGCCGGACCTCAGCTCGTCCCACGGCACGCAGACGCAGCCGGGTGACACGACCGCAGTGTCAGCAGCCAGGCGCTCACACCCTGACGGGCAATCGGAAACAGCCAAAGCACAAAACTGCAACTGGAAGGAGAGAAAGGGGATAAAGAAAAACACAAGCAGCAAAGCGTTTTAGACGAAGGCAGTGACAAGTGGTAATAAATGACACCTTCCCCCTAAGAGTCTCAAAGATCTTCACAAACTGTATTTGAAGGCTGTGCAACACCCAGTGAGGTGAACGAGCCGCATTCTGCAACAGCCTGGACAAACACGATACAGCAGGATGGGATTTAGTGGCTTCCCAAGGCCCTGCAGGATCACACGTCCAAGTGCAGGTGCTGAGCAGGTCCAGCTCCCCCGGCACCAGGCTCGCCCTGCCACAGCCCTCACTTCTGGCACTAATTAGACACCCAGACCGCCCGAGCCTTACTGCTCTGCGCCCACGGCATAACCCCCAAAGTCTTCGTTCCAAAACGTTCACAATTACCATGTGAGACAGCGCGTCAGAAGAAAGTGAAACGAACAGCCGATGAGGATTTGTCTGCTTTGCTCTGCTACCAGAAATAACTCAGCTGAAGGGGAGCGGGAGCCCCAGCAGTAACACAATTAACCGTATCGCAGTCTCCAGGCACTGAGGCAGAAACAAGCCCTCATTAACCAATTTCCTCCTTTGGTGCAATTCTGGCACTCAAGGAGAGAAGCTGAAAAACTTCCATTATTTTCAACCCGTTAGGACTTCACCAAATTGAAGTAAATGGATTTTAATGTACAATGCTCAGAGCCAGCGAGTAACCCCGAGGCCTCATCCCACGGTTAACAGTCCGCGTCGGTTTCTCTGTCAAACACACAACGCGTTTATCTAATGACTACAAAAACGAATATGAAAGCCTCTGCTGAATTGCAAGCTGAACAAAAATATCAAGTAAATTCAAATTAGCGTTACCAGATGGTGGTTCACAGTAAATCCCAGGCATGTTTACAACACACGCACAAACATCACCTCCAACACTGTACTTCTTTCCAGATTCTTGTAAGTAGTCCAATGTAATCTGGTTTCAAGAAAATCTTATGTTATTTCAATCAAATATTAAAGCAATTCTAACACCCTCAGGATATATTTATAACCCATTGAGGCAAGCATCTGTCTCTTGCTTGGGAAGCTGGCAACTGCAAACGAGCCCAAGTCATGTTTTATTGCTGACTAAACTGGCTTTACATTTGTACATTCTCCTTTCAGCTTCCGCGGCACCGGATTACAAAACTGAAGCTTGCATGCAAGTGGTGTCCTACCGAAGCTGAAGCGGTGATTTCCATCCGGAGGGCTCTCAGCTGAACAGGAGCCTTCTGGCAGCCGGAGTGAAACTCGTTAACAGCACACGAGTACAGACAAGGCATCTGGGCAACTCACGGACTTCATGAAATCAGTCATACTCCTCTCTAGGACATGTCTAAGTTAGATTTTCGTATTTAATTACCGTACTGCATGCTATAAAGAAAACCTTTCTATTCATCCAGTAAATTTGGTCAGAGATGAATTCACTGCCTAGTAAAACCTGCTCCGTACTTGCCACTGTTCTTTTTCCTTGCCTAGACTTTCTGAAAAGATTGGAAAAACTTGAGTTACTTGAAGAGGAGCCGTGCCGAAGCCCCTGCAGTTGGGACTGTGCGGTGAGTAGGCAGCGAGACGGTGCAGGGAACGCTCCCACGCTGGCACCAAGCGATGAGGACGAGCATTTTATCGGTCTGCTACACACTCATCCTCCCCCAAATCCCTAAGGTCGGGGTTTTCCCCTTTTTAAATTCCTCTTTGAAGGAAAAACTTATCTTGTCCTCTGAGGGAATTAGCAGACAACGCTCTATTAAAAAAACAGAGCGAACATGAAAGAGCAGATCAAGCCAAAGACGGACGGCCAGAACTTCTGCCGTAGTTTGAAGGCAGCTCGGAAGGCGGCTCAGCGCAGCCCTCCCGACAGGACGGCGAGGACACGCACCCCGGCGTGCTCGGGCGAAGGAGTTCCCCAGGAAAGACGCTCTTAACCGCCCAGATGAGAAAATCCTGCTAACACGAACGTATTTATGATGGCAGATGCACTGTCTTCAAAAGAGACGCAAGAACTTCCCTATGAGAAGTTGGGCCCAAGAGGTGCTCTAGGGCCAGAAATGAACTGCAAGCCAAGGCATGCTGGAGAGGATGAGGTGGGGGAGGAAGGCGGCAAATCGGAGGTCTCTGACCTTTGGTTTCCCTTGTGCCTGTATGCTGGGAGCCAGGCCCATACATCCCACCACCAAAGAGGAAACCTGTACTGTGGGTTGGAGATGGAAAACATACCCGTGAACGGCGAGCTCTGTGAAATTTAACCCTAATTCACACAAACCCGTCCCCCTTTTGCTGGGTTCAGCGTCAACAGGGCGAAGCCGCTGGAAACCCCAACCCCCCGGCAGAGGCTCCTCGCTGCGCTCGCCCCGCCTGTGCCGGCGCAGACCAGCGCCAGAGCCGCCTCCGCAGGCGGCGGTTCTCATCGGGGACCGGCGGTCCCTTAACCGCCAAGCGTCAGCCCTCCAGCCCACCTAGGCAAGCGTTTGTTGCTCCTAACCTTTGCTGTGAGAAGGGTTTTGGTGCACCTGTCCATTACCTTGCAATTACTTTCACTTAAAAAAAAATATTTGCGCAAGCTTTATCAGTGTTTAAGGAAAGGTATATGAACACAACAGTTTTGTTGTTACAAGACTTAAAGTTTGCTTTCAGCTTGCCTGCAAAAACAAGCTCTAGAAACACAGTGGCCGACTTTTCTACAAGGAGAGCTTCAGAGCTGAAATGCCTTGAACCAAAACTGATTTTCAGAAACCAGATACCTATCATTTCCCAGAAACCTCCACCCTCCAGGCATCTTAGATGATGTATGGCCAAAATCACTGTAAAAGAAAATATAAATCTAATGCCACAATACGTTGTTCAGTTTTTAGCACTGGCATATTTTGAAGACACCCAAATGAAGATACCTTCTACAGAAAGAAATCATAGCAAAAGTAAAATTAAATTTACTGATGACTTGATAAAGATCAATGCATAACCTTTTTCTTGTGAATAATCATATAGCAGCATAGTTTGGAAATAAATTCTTTCTATTCTCTCTTGACGCGCTGCTGGGCCAGAATGATATCTTCCTTAGAGACCAGCAGCGGAACACCTCGCGTGTCACCGTAAGTAACATTTCTAATGTAAACAAATACTCATTTTGTATCTGGAGATTTTATTGTCCAGAGAATGGAAAAAGATGCACAATTAATTGTATCCTTACAGCTGAAGGGTGAGTTAGATGCATTGTAAGGCAGCGTATTTGAAACAGAAAAGCAAGCACCGGCCTGGAACACCCACAAAGCCCTAACTGATGGCAAGGACCGGGAGATTTTGCAGTAGCCCTAACAAACAGGCCCACCTCCTGTGATGGCGGGGGGGGGCATTTCACCGGCTCGCACGTGCCCTGAGCGGCTACGAACGCACGGGGTGCTCTCCTGCCCGAGGGGCCGCAGCCTGCCCGCGCCCCTCCGCCGCGAAGCAGCCCCAACCCCGACACGCGCGGTCCCGTTATTTGTTATAGCCTGATTCCCTAACGGCTTCGGGAATGAACTGAAGACTTTTCATTTGCTGCCACTTAAAATGATCTTTAAACTAATGTGTTTGAGCGCTGACCTAAATTAACCGTAACACCTTTACTGAATTTATGTATATGGAAAAGGGAAAATACATACTCCTTCCACTTACCTTGAAGTGGACAGATTTTATGGATTTAATCAGATTTTTTAATTCTATGTTTCAGCAGCTTTCTTGGCAAGCTATGGTTATTTAATCTTTCCTTTCCAGGGGAACCACAGTTTGATTCTACCCTCTCCTATACAAAATTTCAATTGCACAGGGTCCAAAGGGCCATACGTTACATTTTCTCCACCAGACAGAAGCTGATATTGCAACTGCAGGCAAGCAGGAGTCAGAAATGCTCCTACCTGATGCAGTTGTGTTTCTAGGGTATCGCTGAAGCCTCGCTGGAAGAAGTGCAGGAACGCCTTGCTGCACATTAATCCCTCTTGGTATACAGGTGATGTTCAATGCAGGATGCAAGGTCAATAATCACCTATTAACCGATATTCATCTACTGCCAGTATTACCCGGCTGAGGCTACCTCTATTACAGGTGCAAGTTCCCCCTCCTCCTACCAGCAGCAGCCATTGGAAAGGAAAACCTTTGCCCCTTTACACCAATACATATCTTAACTGACATGCAGGGCTGCTTACGCCGAGTTAAGCCGATGCTTGTGCCAGATGCGCTTGGTTAATGGGGCAAGGGGAAGACCTTTCCACCCTTCCCGGGGACCTGCCGAGGACCGCGCAGCACTGCCAGCCGCCAGCTGACCCCGCTGCCGGGCCGCCTGGCGGGGCAGGGGACGGCGAGGTCTGCCTGCTCGGCACCAGGAACACCCGCTGAGACGGCTGCTTGGGCTGTCGGCCTGGGGCACTGCTCCTCCTGACGGCCAGGCAGGCTGTGCCGTGGCACTGCTGTGCCGTGGCACTGCAGCGGCCGGTGAAGCCCTCCAGTCCGCTCCCTTTGCACCTCGCCAGCAACAGCCTTCATTAAACAGCTTCGTCTCCCAACAGACTGTGCGAAGATCTTTCTGTTTTGACAAAAACAACTGCATCCCACTCTTCTAAATTGCCTGGGGTTTGTTTCCATTACTTCTCCCCCTGCACGCATTCGCCCGCATCGCCCCACTCCTGAGCCCACCAAGCGTCAGGCTGCCTAGCCAACCTGAAGACCCGGGAACTGAAAACACCTCTGCTCTAGTAACCAAAACATCATTTAAATAAATTAGAGATAGCAAACCACCTCTGGCTATGGGGTAGGATTCCGCAAGTTTACCCAAAAAGCGAGGCGGCCGCGGCGCGCACAGGGAAGGGCAGCGCCTGGGCACGGCCACTCGCTCCTGGACGGCCCGGCGCGCTGCCGGCTGGGGCCGGGGCCCGCCCCGCCCCCCGGGGGGGGACCCCGG